TCTCAAATAAATAAATAAAATCTTTAAAAAAAAAAGACTGAATGCTTTCTGCCTAAAGTCAGGAACAAGGTGAAGATCTGTGTTCTCACCACTTACGTTCAGCATTGTATTAAAAGTCAGTGAAATAAAGGGCATACATATGGGAAAGGAAGAAATAAAACTCTTCATGCCCAGAAGTAGGATTCTAAGTGAATTCTTTTTTTTTAAAGATTTTTTATTTATTCACTTGAGACACAGAGATAGAGAGAGAGAGTATGAGCAGGGAGAGAGGCAGAGGGAGAGGGAGAAGCAGGCTTCCCGCTGAGCCAGGAGCCCGATGTGGGGCTCGATCCCAGGACCCTGGGATCATGACCTGAGCCGAAGGCAGATGCTTAACCATCTGAGCCACCCAGGCACCCTAGGTAGTGAATTCTAATAAGTGAATTTAGTGAGGTTAAAGTATTTAAGATCAATACACAAAATCAACTGTATTTCTATATCAGCAATAGCCAATCAAAATGAAATTTATAAAACAGTTCCATTAATAAGAGCATAAAAAGTCAAATAAAGGAAAAATAAATCAAAATAAGGAATAAATTTAACAAAAGATGCAGGACCTACTTAGAGAAAACTGCTAACTGTTGCTAAAAGTATCAGAAATACCTAAGTAAATAAAGGTACATGGCATTGCTGTGGATTTGAAGGATAATATTGTTAAGAGGGATTTTTCCTACATTTTGTACAGATTTAGTACAGTCCCAATCAAGCTCCCAGAAAGCTTAAAAAAAAATTTTTTTTTTTGGAAATTGACAAGCTTATTCTAGTATATGAGTAGAAATACAAAGGACCTAGAATAAAAAATGTTTTTAAAAAGGAAGAACAGAATTGGAGGACCTGCATTAGCTGATTTAAGACTTTAGTCTATAGTAATCAAGACAGTGTGGTACAGCATAAGGATGGATGTGTATAGATCAAACCTTGAGAGGTAAAAAAATAGACCCAAGCCTAAGGGACAATTGATTTTTGACAAAGGTACCAAGATTATGTGGGGGAAAGAACAGTTTTCAGTGAATGTTTCTAAAATAACTGGATATCCCTTTCCTCCCATCAAATACAAAAATTAATTAAAAATGGATCACAGATCTAATTGTAAGGGCTAAAGCCATTAAATTCTAGAAGAAAATTATCTGGAAGAAAATCTTTATGGCTCTAGATTAAGCACAGATTTCTTAGGACACAAAAAGCATGAGCCATAGAAGAACTTGCTAAAATGGAGTATCAATATTAAAAACTTGGCTTATGGGAAGACACCACTAAGAAAATGAAAAAGACAAGCCACAGTTTGGGGTAAAATATTTGCTACATATTTATCTGACAAAGGACTTATTTCTAGAATTACAAAGAACTCTTACAACTCAGTAAAAAGACTATTTAAAAAAGGGGCAAAAGAACTGAACAGGCAGCTTACAAAATAAGATATACAATTGGCCATTAAGGACTAGAAATGATGCTCAACATCTTGGTCATTAGGTAAATGCAAATTAACATCGACAAACTTTGCTTATAAGACAAAGAGGTAGGAAAAGGAATATGTAAAGTCAAAGAAAGATTTTATTTGTTTTGGGATGGAATTGGCCTGAAAACTCAAATCTTCATCATTACCCCCAATCTATCACTTTTTTTCTGGTTTCTTATTCTAACTGTATACACACTATATATTTTTTTTCAATCCTCCATCAGAACCTTCTCTTCAGTATGTTTTAATGAAAAACTATTTCTGTTTTCTTCCTAAGCCCTAGTCTTTCACACTCATTATTACAATGTCACTATGAGATCAGACGCAAAATTATGAAGTCATTTATTCATTCTTTCAGCAAACATTTGTCCTTTGGTACTCCTGCTAATTACCTACCTGCATCTAGACAGAGATATCAAGTAGGTGATTGGAGATCATGAGAGAGGTTGTGGCTAGAGATGTAAATTTGGCAGTTCTTGGTGGATGAATTGTTTTTAAAGCCATGTATCTGGATGAGATTGCTTAAGGTGTGATTGAGTAGAAAGAGAAGTCAAAGACTGAGCCCTGAGGTAGTTTAATCTTTGTAAGTCACCTAGGTGAGCTGAGGGTGAGGTGGCTCAGCCAACAAATTGAGTGGAACAGCCAGTGAGAGCAGTGTTTCAGAGGACAAGTCAGGATATTTTAGGGAAAAGGAGAGATATACACTGAACTGCTCTTGATAGGTCAAGTCAGAGGAACATTGAGAAATGATTAATAGATTTGTCATTGTGAAGGTCATTGGTGACCTTGACAATATTATTTTCAGTGGATGATAATCTGTTTCAAGTAGATTTAAGAGAAAATGGAGAAGTAGAGAAAGGTTAGACAGCTGTTTTGAGAACTTAAACTCTTAAGGGAAGTATTGGTCACTGGAAGACAATATGAAGTTGTAGACTTATTTTAAAATAAGATGGGAGATTTTATAGCAAGTTTGTAAGCTGATGATGATGATTTTAGAAAAGCATGTCTAAGAAAATCGACGGTGTAGTAGAGAGAAGGGAGGGGTGGGATCCAGTGCACAAATGAAGAGGGTTGGCCTTTGCTGAGAGCATAGACTCTTGATTCACCATGACAGAAAGGAAGGCATTGTGGTTAACATAATTCTTGAGCTCTCACTATGTAGAAGGCACTATTCATGAGAAACAAGCTTAAATAGAGACATAAATGATTTAACCAGGTTCCCGTTTTTTTGTATATCACTTTTAGCATTTACTGTTTTATTATACTGTTTTTCATACTGTTTAATACTAGTTACATCAGAATTTGATACTAAAAACAGGTAGCATTTTTTTAGTGGTAGTTCCATCTGCAAGTCCCTTTTCTCCCCATCAATTACAATTAGATTGTAAGCTTCTTGTGGATAATTGCTTTCATTTACAGTGACGTGCTCCTGAGCCATACTGAACAACTCCCGAGATGATCCTTGACAGTAATATATGCTGAACATATACTGTACTCTCTATATAATGAGATCTTCATGATGACTTATCATGGGAAGAATTATTGGAGACATATAAGAGTGGTGTGTCTTTAGTAGCACATTCTTTATTGTCTATTTTACTCTTCAAATAATATTTTCTATGTACAAAATTGAAAAATTTTCAAGTTAAGGTATGTGGTCATGAAATATTAAAAACTTGTATTTTTGTGTATTAAATTTGAGTTAAATGTTAATGACTAAAAATTTGGAAGGTACAGTTTATTTTTGAAGTCTTCTGTGTGATCTGTTGAAAATTCTTAATTTTTACCTTGACTTCATTTTTCTCCTTTCTATATTCAGTTGTACTTCTTTTGCTACCGTAATGGAGGACAAAGTGACATTAGAATCCAAAAAATTGAGTTTCTTTTTTTCTTTAAATTTTTTATTGTTATGTTAATCACCATGCATTACATCATTAGTTTTTGATGTAGTGTTCCATGATTCATTGTTTGTGCATAACACCCAGTGCTCTATGCAGAACGTGCCCTCTTTAATACCCATCACCAGGCTGACCCATACCCCCACACCCCTCCCCTCTAGAACCCTCACTTTGTTTTTCAGAGTCCATCATCTCTCATGGTTGGTCTCCCCCTCCGATTTACCCCCCTTCATTCTTCCCCTCCTGCTATCTTCTTCTTCTTTTTTTTTCTTAACATATATTGCATTATTTGTTTCAGAGGTACAGATCTGTGATTCAACAGTCTTGCACAATCCACAGTGCTCACCATAGCACATACCCTCCCCAATGTCTGTGACCCAGCCACTCCATCCCTCCCACCCCCCCCACCACTCCAGCAACCCTCAGTTTGTTTCCTGAGATTAAGAATTCCTCTATCAGTGAGGTCATATGATACATGTCTTTCTCTGATTGACTTATTTCACTCAGCATAACACCCTCCAGTTCCATCCATGTCGTTGCAAATGGCAAGATTTCATTCCTTTTGATGGCTGTATAATATTCCATTGTATATATATACCACATCTTCTTTATCCATTCATCTGTTGATGGACATCTTGGCTCTTTCCACAGTTTGGCTATTGTGGACCAAAAAATTGAGTTTCAATTCTTAACTCTTTTTTCATGCCAGCTTCTGTAGCCATTTATGCAGTAATGAACTGCCTCTATACTATCAGTCACTGTGATTATTATTTCTACTGCTAAATCTTGTGACTTCTAGTTCCTTTCCCTTTTTTATGGTAAGGCAGGTCAGGTGAGTTTCACATGAAAGTAGGTAAAAACTTCCTAAAAGATTTCAAGACTGTACTGTTTGCTTTTATCACAGAAAATATTATAGATTTAATTTGTCCTTAAGTTTCTAAAGGGTGATAAGCATCATCCTTGCATAAACTTACTTATTGGTTTTCTATTAGTGTGCAACAATATTACCACAAATTTAGTGGCTTAAAACAACACACATTTACTATCTCATAGTTTCTGTATATTAGGAATGTGTGTACACCTAAGCTGGGTCCTCTGCTTCATTGTCTCATAAAGCTTCAATCAAGGCATCAGTTAGGGCTGTGGTTTCATCTGAGAGTTGACTGGGGAAAGATCCACTTCTGGACTCATGTGGCTTTGGGGCAGGATTCAGTTCCTTGTAGGCTGCTAGGTTGAGGGCATCAGTTTCTTATCTTGGGGCCCTTTTCCTATGTCAGCTTAAAACATTGCAGCTGCTTCTTCAAAACCAGTAAAGAAGAGAGTCTCCTCCAAGATGGGCATTACAGTTTTATGTAATGTAATCACGTGCATGTAAACATCCTGTCTCTTGGTTAGAAGTAACTTGCAACTCCCATCCACATTCAAGAGGAGGGGGTCACAAAAGGGCATGAAAGCAGGAAATGAGCATCACAGAGGCCACTCTAGAAAGTCTGTCTGCTACAGCTTGTTTGCTATATCTTAATACAGGATGAATGTTTCTCTTATTCAGTAATTTTTGTTACTTATTTATATGTAGTGATAACTGGATTTTTAATTTTTCTAACCAGATTCCATTGGCCGTGACATCCCCAAAATGCTTGAATTATTTAAAACTGGACATGAAATTAAGGTAGATGAAGAAAGGGAGAACTTTCTCCAGACCAAAATAGCAACAGTAAGTTACAATGGAAATTGTTATTAAATAACCATCTTTTTTTTTTTTTTTTGCTTGAGTGACTGATAATTTATAATATGCCAGTCCTTTGAACTTGTTCTTGGCACTAACATCAGGAGTAGCACTAAATATACAGAGAGATAATTTCTTTTTATTCTGTAGATTGAACTCATAAATTTTAATGGTATTTGAGAATTCCTTCATGTGCCACTCAGTGATACTGTATTTTGTCTTATTTGATTGTTCTGTGTATGTATTTTTTGCTCTCTAATATTCTAAGTTTATTGAGAGTAGGGATAGATCTTGTACATCCCCTGTGGAACATTGCATAATGCTGAGTGCATAGTAGGTATTTAATGCTACTATACTGGAATTGAGTAATTTGCTTTGTTTTTATGAATTGTTTTGATTATCCCTGCTTGGGTTTTAAAAACTGCCTCCTTATAGAAGATGCTGGAAATCAACTCTCAAAGCTATTTTTTGGACTCTGATATAGATATGTCAGGTTTATAGGACTATGTTTTTAGATATATAGTTATTTGCTAATATCTTCTTTATGCTGAGGAATCTCTAAAATACTTTTTACTGTTCAGTAACCATAGGAATAATAGTGATATGTATAATAAAATTTAAACAGTGCCTAGCAAGTGCCAGGCACTATTCTAAACATTCTTCATTTCATATATTCTCTCTCTTAATCTTCAACACTATGAGAGGACAAATTATCATCCCCATTTTATGGATGAAGGCCAAAGAGGTTAAATAATCTTTCCAAAGTCTCACAGCAACTATGAGGCAGAATAGGTATTTGAACGTTGGCAGTCTTTTCAAGAGTCCAGGCTCTTTGCCCAAAACCATCTTGCCTCAGGCCTGGAATTACTTGAATAGCTGTAATTCCTCTTCCCATCCTGCTCTTAGAGGATTTCTGCATTATAGCCCACAGCTAGTAGTCCAGGCTAATTGAGCTATGCCTACTATAGATCATCAGAAGTAGAGAAAAGGTACTTAGCTAGTTTTATGGAAGGAAAACTTGCTTTAGAAAGAGGGCAAAACAATGTAATCTAGTCAGGGATTGGGAAAGCCCTCATTGCTGTCATTACATCAGAGCTTGGCACCAATTGTGTGGCATTGTGTTCTGCTAAAATCTGATGTTGCACTTTCCTTATTTCCAAAAGGCCCTTGACAGTGCTTCTTGTTTGTTAGGGATGAAATGTAAAAAAACAAAAAAAAAGGAAATTTTAAGAAAATATTATAAAGCTATAAGAGTCTTAGGTTTGAATACCTGTTCTGCTGCTTATGGGATGGCAGACTTTAAACAAGTTTCTTAATGTTGTGTCTCCAATTCCTGAGTTATCGAATTTACGTAGTAATAGTTATTTCACAATGTGGTTTTGAAGATTAAATAAAAATTTGAAATGGTAGCAGCAGTTGTTGGTGTTTTTTGTTTTTAGAGATTCATTTTATTTTATTTTAGAGAGAGGGGGAGGGGCAGAGGGAGAGACTCTTCAAGAAGATTCCCCACTGAGTGGGGAGCCCAACACAGGGCTTGATCCCACAGCCCATGAGATCATGACCTGAGCCAAAACCAAGTCGGATGCTCAGCTGACTGAACCACCCAGGTGCCCCATTGTTACTGTTTTGGTTGGACTTTTGGGGACTACAGGACATCTTTGTAAGACTATTTCTTTTCAGCTGGATCTTTTCTTTTGGTTAAGTAATATTTTCCGTATATTCAGGAGTTAATAGTTTATATGGATCCTGACTCTGTATAAGAAACTGTGGCATCTCATTTATTCTTCTCAACAAATACCATAGTTCTTAAGTGATTACATGAGCTCCAGGTCAGACTACTTGTATCATTTAGAGGTAGAATGTTTTTTCTTAATGAAAAATAAATTAATTTCTGTGTTTAAGAGAATCTTGTTGAATACTACTTGAATATTATAGTATTATATAGTATAGCAGATTAAGAGAGTGGATTTTAGATTTATACTCTCTGGATTCATACCCTAGTTCCAGATTGGAATTGTGTTCCCTTGCTCTCTGAGCCTCAGTTTTCCCCCATTCCCCATTTCCCCTAAATGCAAAATGAAGTTAATAATGATGCATATTTTCTAGGCTAGGAAGGAGTAGTTGAAATAATGACTATAAAGCAGACTTCTCCTTCTGGCTAACATGGAGTAATAGGGACCTGATTTACTCTTTCACCTAAGATAATCAGCATTACCTTGATACCAAAATCAGGCAAAGAAAGATACAGTCCAGTATCATTTATGAAAAATAGATGTTAAAATTATAAACTAAATTTTAGCCAATGGAATCCAGCAGTATATATGAAAAAAGGATAACATGTCATCACCAAGTAGGGTTTATCCTAGGAATACTAAATTAGTTTAACATTCAATGATCAATCGTTAAATTTCACCATATTAACAAACTATAAATCAAAAGCTGTCTGATTATCTCAGTAGATACAGAGAAAGCAATTGACAGAATCCAACATTCATTCCTGATTAAAAAGTCTCAGCAAAGTAGGAATAGAAGTTAATGTCCTTAACCTGATAAAAGGCATATAAGAAAAACCAACAGCTAACGTCATACTTAGAGGTAAAGACTGAATACTTTCTTTCTAAGACCAGGAGCAAGTTAAGGATATCCACTTTAACCACTTCTGTTCAGCATTGATCTAGGGATTCTAGGCAGTGCAATCAGGCAAAAAAACAAGGCATCCTGATTAGAAAGGAAAAAGTAAGATAGTGATTATTCACAGACGATATAATGTAACTACTAAAACAAAGAAGTAAGTTAAGGTTGCAGGATACAAATATACAAAAATCAGTTTTGCTTCTATATAACAGCAACAATTAGAAATTAAATTTTTTAAAAAGTTAAAATTTAAAAATAATAATTTATAGTAATATCAAAAATAAGAAATACTTAGAGATAAATCTGACAAAAGATGTGAAAGATCCGTACACTGAAAATTTCAAGACACAGTTGAGGGAAATTAAAGAAGATCTAATAATTGATGAGGTGTACCATATTTATAGGTCAGTAAATCCAATATTGTTAAGATGTCAGTTGTCCCCAAAGTAATATATAGATTTAGTACATTCTTGATCAAAATCCCATTTAGCCTTTTTTTTTTGTAGAAACTAGCAAGCTGATTCTGAAATTCATATGGAAATACAAATGTTCTAGAATAACTAAAACAACTTCAACAAATAGCAAAGTTAGAGGTCTACCTGATTTCAAGATTTATAAAGCTACAGTATTTAAGACACTGTGGTATTGACATCAAAAAAGACAAAATGATAATGGAGTAGAATAGAGTCCCAAAAATCAAAACAAAATGTATGTGGACAACTGATTTAAAACATGTTGCAAAGTCATTTTTAATGGATAAACATTAAGTCATTTCGAGAAATGGTACCAGAACAATTGAATATCTATATATAGTAAAATAAACTTTGACCCATAACTTCATACCACATATAATTAGCTCAAAGTGTATCAAAGACCTAAACATAAAGCCTAAAATTATAAAATTTGTGGAAGAAAAAGTTGAGTTAGGGAGTGATTCTTTTTTTTTTTTAGATATGAAATGAAAAGCATAGCATGATCCACAAGAGAAATTGATAAATTGCACTGTATAAAAATTTAAAGCATTTACTCTTTAAAAGACATTGTTAAGATAAGTCACAGACTGGGATAAAATATTTACAAATCATGTAACTGATAAATCCATAATATATAAAGAGCTCTTAAAGCTCAGTAATAGAAAAACCCAGTTTTAAAAATCAGCAAAAGATTTGAACATACCTCACCAAGGTGTAACAAACACATGGCAAACAGAGGACAAATACTTTGAAAGATGCTCAACATTATTAGTTGTTACAGAAATACAAATTAAAATCACCGTGAGATATCACTACACATCTATTGGAATGATTAAAATTAAAAAAGACTGATCCATAGCAAGTATTGGTAAGGATGTGGAGAGACTGGAACATTTACACTACTCTGGCAGTGTAAAATGATACAACCTCTTTGGCAAACAATTTGGCAGTTTAAGAAATTTAACATCCAGGAGTGCCTGGGTGGCTCAGTCAGTTGGGTGGCCAACTCTTGATTTTGGTTCAGGTCATAATCTCAGGGTCCTGGGATTGAGCCCCACATTGGGCTCCACACTCAGCGGGGAGTCTGCTTCAGGATTCTCTTTCTCCCTCTGCCCCTCCTCCCACTTGCTTGCTCATTCTCTGTCTCTAAAATAAATAAATACATCTTTAGAAAAAAAAGCAATTTAACATCCACCTGCTAGATGATCCACTATTCCACTTTTAGATACTTATCTAGGAGAAATGAAGACATACGTCCATACAAAAACTTATGAACAAATGCTTATAACAGATTTATTTGTAATAGCTAAAAACTGGAAACATTCCACATGTCCATTGACAGGTGAATGTATAAACAATCTTTGTTATATCTGTGTAATAGAATATTTTTTAGTAATAAAAAATAATTGATACATGCTTTAACATGGATGAATTTAAAAATGATTATACTGAGTGAAAGCCAGAGGAGTACATACTGTATGATTCTATTTATATAAATTCTGGCAAATACAAACTTATATAGTATCATTAATGTATAGTGAAAGAAAGCAGACTGGTTATTGCTTTGGGCATAAGTGGATGGGGAGGGGTGGGAAGGAGGGATTACAAAGGAGCACATGGAATTTTGGGGGTGATTGACATGTTTGTTATTTTGACTGATGAGGTTTTCACGAGTATATGCATATGTCAAAACTTAATAGATTGACACTTTAGGAATGTGCAACATATCCTGTGGAATACCATTCAGCAATGAGTACTATGGATGCCTGCTCTGATGTGGATGATTCACAAATCATAATGCTCAGTGAAAAATCAGACATAGAAACCACATATATGTGATATCATTTATATGAAAAGGTAAAACTATAAAGACAAAAACTA